CATGACTTCATCAATAGCGAAGTTGAAGAGGAAAGGTGACAGCGGGCATCCTTGTCTCACACCGCTGGTGATACTGAAGGGTGGCGAGAGTTTGCCATTAACCCTCACCCTGCCCGAACTATGTGCGTACAGCGCTTTGATAATGTTTACATATTTATCAGGCACACCTTTCCTCAACAGACAGTCCCAAAGGGCACATCGATCGACTGAGTCGAAGGCACCTTTTATGTCAAGAAACACGACAACGGTGGGTCGCCAATAAACATGGCGGTGCTCCAACACTTGACGCAGTGTGAAGATGTGGTCGATGCAGCCCCGACCTCGACGAAATCCGGCTTGCTCTTCACGAATTTGGCTTTCACGAGTGCCAGTCAGTCTGTGGAGAATGAGAGAGGCAAGCAATTTAGAGGCAATCGAAATCAGACTGATCCCTCTATGATTGCCACATACCAAACGGGAGCCTCCCTTGAAAATTGGGACAATGACGGAGCGGTTCCAGTCTGTCGGGACTGTCTCCTGCTCCCAAAGTTTTACTAGCAACTCGTGTAGATCACCTATTAGAGCAGGTCCACCGAACTTGAAGAGGGCTGGAGGAATAGTATCTGCTCCTGCGGCCTTATGCAATTTCAACAGCTTGATCTCACGTTCGACTTCAGCGCGTGAGGGCGGATCCAGGGAGACGGCCCAAGGAGAAGGGCGTTCAATGCCCGAAGAAAGTGCTAACTCAGGCTGGTTAAATTGCATAGCAAAGTGTTCAGCCCAACGCTCCAAGCGTTTTGACAGGCTGTGGATCATCTGCCCACTCTCGTCGCGTATGGTCTCGCTAACACCAGGTCTCCTGCTGCCTGTTGCCCGTATCAGACGGTATAACTTACGATGATTACCAATGGCAGCGGCTGTTTCCATCTCAGATGCACGATGAGACCACCAGGTTTCGCGGTCCTTCTTTAGGCTAGCACGTAGTTTCGCCCTGAGATTTTTGCGAGATTCATTGTATTCGCTTCCAGCCGGAATACGTCGGCGAGCATCCATAAGTTCCAGAGACTGTGTAGAGACCCAATGTCCGGTTTGGCAATTTGTTTTGCCACATGAAGACATGCCTGCTAATAGCAACGCTTGACGAGTGTGCGACCAGTGATCTTCAACGGTGTTTAGTGGGCGCTTACTCAGCCCAGATGTCAGCGCATCTTGGTACACATTTAGAACATCTGGCTTCGCCAGCTGGCTAGTGTCAATCCGTTCACATCGACGTTGCGGACGTCCACCGAAGCGCATCAGGAGGTCGGCACAGACAAGTGCGTGGTCAGAGTCCACGCTCGTGCTCCAAATCGAGCGACAGTTTTGGACACAGCCTCTCCAGCGGTAACTGATCGCGATATGATCGATTTGCGTCCATGACTGGCCCGAGGCTGGTGGCCGCCAAGTCACACTTCTGCGGGTGCTGTGTCGAAAATTAGTGCTCGCGAGAAACAGGCGAGCATCTTCACACAGCTGGAGCAATCGCTCACCCCATTGAAGGTAAAACGAAGGCACGACTTCCCACTCATCAAAGGTTGCTGTTACTTGGAGTCAGCCACCACAGCTTATTCGCACCGATGACCTACATAAAATTTGCGAAGCAATCTTATCTTTCCAACCTTATGTGTCAGGTGGGAGTCAGTGAATTCTTAAGGACTGAATACCAAAACGGCTTCAAGTTTGTGTGACGCGATGGAGTCAGAGATTAAAAATTCCTTGGCCAGAATGTACAATGTACTATAAATTTATACGGGTTAAGAAGCCCTGCTTTACGAGTCCCGTTGGGTAGTTTGGTGGGGTTATCGAAGTAATACTAATGAAACAATGCGTGTTTTGAATGTGAAAAGAAAGACTTATCATTTGCTCCACCGTAGTCCTACATTCTGCGTAGTTTCACAGCACCACAGTTAACAGCAAATAAATCCAAGGTACATTTCAGGAGTAAGATGGAGACATCATGCTAAGTACCAGAGATTAAGTGGGTGCGTGCGTCATCCAACCGTCTTTTAAATATTGTAAATGTCACGGCGGAGACGATCGATTCAGGGAGAGCATTCCATTTGTGGCGTTCACGAATGGCTAAGAAATTCTTGCGGTACTCCAGTCGGCTATACTGTTCTGCGAGTTTCGGTGAGTGACGTCTCAGGTCTGTATTGCTGCTGAGTTGTAGTTAGGAGCGTCACACATGATTTGGGTCGTGCAGAATCAAGTATGCCATTATCAGATCGCCTCGTAATCTGCAATATCGTCCGCTGAATACCCCTAATCGTTTCAGTCTCTCCTCGTATGAAAGATTGCGTATTCCGATTACGCAATTAGATGCTCGACGTTGGGAATGCTCCAGTGCATTAAGGTCGTGTTTCAGTCATGGATGTCAGTCTTGGATTACATTTTCGACATGTTGGCGAACACACGCACTAAGCATTTGTCGCAAAAATAGATATGTCTATTTGTCCGAACACCCGTCACAACAGCCCGACGTTTCCGTTTCCTGGCTTCGAGGCCATTTCATATTGCTTAAAGCAACCCAAGTCATTTTGAACCAGCACACCCAAATCACGTTCGACAGTAGATTTTCCTAGTACATCAGTTCCGATCCGGTATGAGTAGCTGCTCTGATGACGGATAGAAAGTACTTTGCATTTACTCACGTTGTATTTTACTAAATTTTGTGTTGGTCAGTGATGTACGGTGTCTAGTTCACTGTGAAGCAGATGCTCGTCGGCTTTCACCTGAATCCTGCGCTAAATCTTGATATTATTGGCAAACGGTAAGAAATTTGAAGCGATTGCCGGGCGAGGTCATTACTAAACACCAAAACAATTTTGGACCTAGAACTGGGCCTTGCGGCACACCACACTTGACTTGTATGGGGTCAGATAAAGAACTCAGAACTCTGACCACTAATTGCCGTTGAAAGAGAAAGTTGACTATCCAGCTTAGCTGAAGGTCACTGATCCTACAGTACTGGAGCTTAGAAGGTAGTCCCCGATGGTTTAGACGAATCCAGGTAGATCACCTCAACCTCTTCTCCAGCGTTAGCTGACTCGGTCCAACTGTTGCGTGCGAGTAGTAAATTGGTTGTGTCTATCGCTGTCGACGGAAACCGTGCTATTCAGGCGTAATGATGTTACAGTTTTCCAGATACCAAACCAGCGTATCGGCAACGACTGATTCTATGACCTTGGGGAGCATAGGGAGAAGAGATACTGGGTGGTAGTTTGAGGGCTCAATTCTGCTTTCACCTTCGTAAATCGGGGTTATTATTCCAAGCTTCCTCATAACAGGAACCTGGTTCTGGTCTAAGGGGCGCTGGAAATACTGAGCCATCCTGCTAGTTGTCTTCCTATTGATCCCAATCGCTCTGGGCGAACGGTATTGACACCCGAGGAGCCGTGGTTGCGCAGATACTTCAGTTTCTGCAATACGGCTTCAGCTTTAAAAGTGATGTGGGTGATTCATGGCGGCGCGATAAGGAAAGCTGGAAGATTACTTGATGACAAGACTCTGCAACGTGGAGGTTTATTGCATCCTCAGCGCGTTTGCTGCTTCCATAACCGTTATTATTGGGCCATCAGTCGTCCTGAGTGGCGGACCCACGTTTCGTGGGCCATTGACGTGCTCCTACAACAGTTTGTGGTTAGCACTGAAGGTTTTTGCGTTGTTCTACTGATATGCGGCCTTGTCTTCTCTGAGCATTGGAGTGCAGTGGTTAGGTTGCCCCACGTAGTTATCCCAGTTTTCTAACCTTAGAGCTGTTCTGTTCACCTCCCATACTGCGTTGCGTAATGCCATCCATTTTCGAATTCTGCTGCTAGTGGAATAAACTGATTTAGACTTATTGCAGACTCTTATTCCTGTCGCATCTGTTATCAGCCGACTGAATTTGTTGACGAACTCAAGCCAGGTGACTTCCGGGAGTTCTTCGGCGAGGAACGAGGAGGTTGTGGCGCTGCCGAGCTGGTCTATTCAATCGTAGCGTGCGATGGTTAGCACAGTCTTATAGTTCTCATTCCGATGTTTCGCATAGCGGATAAAGTTGGAACTAATGACTGCATGATCACTGTGACCAAATTGGCGGTCGACAACCAACACATCAATCATAAGCTCTTCGTCGAAAAGCACAAGATCCATCACAGATAGCCTGTTACCAGTTCTGAACCGAGTGGGCAAAGTGACTTGATTTTAAAGCGAAACGGTGGTTACAAACTCCCGCAGATCGACTTTGAATTGTTCGATCGCGACAGTGGTTTCTAAACAAATCACATTGAAATCACCCATGATGAAGGTGCGAGTATATCTTCCTTTCAGATTGCGTCTTAAAGCAGCTCCAAGGTGGCATTCGGTTTCGAGTGTAGAGTTAGGGGGCGGTACACCAAGGCAATGAGGCAAGTGCCTTTTAACTGCAGGCGTCAACAAATGGAAAATGATAAAAACATCACATTATATCATCGTCATCACTTCCCACCAGTCTTTTTAGTGTAAATGCGCTGCTCTGTGATCCCATTTAGTCCCACATAGCTTCTGTATTCCGGTTACCCGAGGCATGCATAGGTGAAGCCGTTTCATAAACCTGCTACTCTGTGGCGATATATCGGCTGTTCATGAGGTTAACTTGCTTATAATTTTTTTCGACTTTCGCATAGGGTGTATTTATTATTTGAATTTATGTACCTGCTACGTATACAACTGCGGATTTGTCCGGCTCGATTTGTACTTATAAGGGAACGATCCGGGAATTCTATTAGTATACCTACTTTAACCCATTCTTTGAGCGCTCGTACTAAATGTTGACTTGCAGTACTATGTCCATACACATTTTTCGCTCCATACCAACAGATCGTATATTGCGACTGTCTAAATACCATTTGCTCAATTTCCAACCCCAACCTTTTAGACGGGAGACGCGACTATTCATATATATCCGACTATGTCAAGCGTTTCAATTCACCCAACTTGTCTACCAAATCAAAGTGGCCACAATGGCTATGTTACTTGCCATCGTTCTTCTCCACCCCGAACTGGGAGATCCGGAACCCCTGAGGAGCAATCAACTGTTTACGCTGTTGAACTACCTCAATTCGCTGTTCATATCGCTGACGCTGTTTTTACCAATGTGCATTCAATACTTCTACGACACGACCGTAAGCTGTTCGCGTATCCAGGTAAGATGTGCGCTATCGTGAATTTACCGTTATTTGTCCAGACGCTGAATCAAAACGCATCACTAGGTTTCTGCATAAAAGGTATCTAAGACTCGACTAGGTTACTTCTTTCCACTTTGATCTGAGTGAATGAATTTGTGCTGTGCAGTGTGTATTGTAATATGTCAACTACCTTGGAAACTATCACTGGGCCATCTTTTGTTACAGATACATTCATCTTCTGTGCACATACTGCTGCATACCAGTGCGACTTTTTAGTGACCACCCATGCGGGTTACCTTCCCGTTGCAAGACGCGGTTTACTTATAATTATCTCATTGCCCCACACCATATCCTTACATTTGTCTTACGTTGGACTGTGCAACGATTCTATCAAACTTTACTGCTTTTTTGATAAGCATGTCTTTTGTTAGGCGTATGTTTCGTACTCAACTTGACATGCTGAAACCTCCGAACCGGAAGTTTTTATAGTTCAACTTGGTTCTCTTTTTCCTGGTTCTCTTTCCTGGTTCTCTTTTTCCGGTTACGGAATTGCCGACCCCATCTAAGATGAACTCATTAAGTTGAATTAGGATCTGCCGGACGAACTGTCCTGGAAGACCTCTTGCTGTTCAATAGAACACTGAATACTGTGCGGAAGCAGCAAGAAGGGATATCTGTGTGTGTGTTGACAAGCATTCCCGATATTTCATGTCGCCAAAGTGTTTGTCAAGGAATTTTGGGAATTCCGACACCGACTTTACTGCAACTGCATGCGGCGGCAAGTTGTTCCATAGATTCACTAATCTCCGTTCGAAGCAGAGTTGGTGAGCAACGCGCCTCAACTCTTGTACTTAAGGTTGTACCGGGGTCCTCATATGCTGCTTGGTGGGCGCATATGGGGAAGCAGTCTAAACATGAGGCAATCACTAAGACATCATATCCTATACGTAATGATGAGATCATCGCGCACTCGACGATAAGATAAGCTGGAAACTCTTAGCCTCTTTCACCAGTCCTCGTAGGACACACCCCGTAGAGCAGGGGGCCACATTTTGTGAGGTAAAAATATGTCGAGCCATATTCAGTCTGACATTAGGCTAATAACAACAACAAGAAAAAAAGGTCCAAGCGTGAAGTTATTATTTCATGCTGAGGTCGCGGACCAGTTGAAATGTTAACGCGGGCCGGACTCTGGACATCCCTGGCGTAGAGTGAGAACGAATCTGGTGGCCACATGTTGTACCCACTCAATCCTTTGCACCCCGCTCCGGGTGATATTACTGTATGTGAGTGAGCCGTACTTTACTACCGGTCGTATAATTAAAACGAAGAGGTTGGTGGCATTCGGACCAAGCGCAGAAGGTGTGTTTGAGCGCACTCTATGCCATATCGTGGACGGGTGACAGAGTCTTTTGGACTGAATTCGTTTCCTGACCGGTCAGCGTAGAGGTTTTGACCCATTATCCAGGCTCACGAGGCCTGAAGGGTTCTGTTCAGTGCATGCAGTGGTCAATCAATGCATTATTTGCCCGCCTACGGATGATCACAGTTCCCTTGAATGATTTCTCCATCGTGTGTGTCGTTAGCACTTACTGGTATTGGCTGCACAACATATAACATTGCGCAGGATTTAAATTTAGCCTCTTATTCTAGTTCAGAACGACTCGATAGAGTGCTCCTACGATGTTAAGATACCTTCACTTCATTCTACTATCTCCCCTATATATCTCAGCACGATAACTAGGGTTTTCCACTATCAAGAGCAGCAGTTAATTGTTGCATTCTTTCATTCACCTCTACATCTATTTCAGAAATTTCTGCTGATCCCGGAGCTCGAAGGGGACCAGTTGCCATTAGTAGATCATTCACCCTCCCCCATGGTGTCTATGAACAACGTATACGCACGCTGGAGCAATGTAAGCGTTTTGACTGTGCGGTTAAACAAAAATGACGTCCCTTTCTCGTGCCATGATTTAGCACGTCTGTATTTAATATTAGAGGCTTTTAGTATGGTTGCTCGAAATATGAGGCTGAATCTTGTAACGTTTCCTCTTATCCAATCCTGGCTTAACCGACTGCTGTGGTTATACTCTGCTTCGCTGAAATCTGCTTCCTAATTATCGGTCCTTTCCATTTCGTGTCCCTGAATGAGCAGGAGACTTCGCACTCGTAACGCATCTTGGAACGACGTGACGGCCATCCTGCAATTCTCCAGTCTGAGTCGCGTTGTGATAATTTCCTTTTGGCGTGATATTGGTATGGATATTACTCGTCGATATTTCTCCATTGGTCGAAATTATGTGGTTGAGTGCTTTCTTCTGTGATACAGCTTTGTATCCTTCTCAGTTAGAAGTTTTGCTTTGATTCCCACAAACTTTAAACGTGAGAACGAATCAATGGATATAGCGAATAAGATTACGCGTCACCATCTAGTGTGTTTTATTTTTCTGCCGTCTCTAGCGAGTCGTGCTTAGCATGTTTATCACTACGTGCTTCTGGTGAACTTTTGCCATTTTCAACTGCAACCAATTTCCGTTTTCCCCGGTTCCTCCTTGGAATTCAACTAACATCCATGAAGCCGGATGTCATAGCAATCACAACATATCACCATTTACATTGAAACTAGGCTACTCGCAGTAACATTACTTTTCGGTTGCTCGGCAGTCTGTTGGCGCTGAGGTGAATCTACAAGGGAATGCTAGTGGTATCTGCATGAGAGCTAGTGATACGAACGGCTGACTATGCATTCGCGGCGTTCGATTGTGTCCAAGCGACAGTAATCAATCGCAGTCATAACTAAGAGAGATGATAGTCCCCCCTGGTCTACTAGAGATCCGAATATTATTTTATCAAGGGGACCGCTTTCAACGGAAGCTGAGAAAAACTGCAGGCTGATAATCAAGTTAACTCATGTTACTAATTGTTAACCATAACGCCTGTTTCTTCTCCCTTAACACACTTCTCTACACAGGGGGAATCGCGTAACTCTATTTTTCAGACCACAGCTGTATCCACTGGCCTGCTCTGCTTTTGTGAACCTTTGGTTCACCGGACACTCGCAGCGCCGATCAGCTACTCACGCAACATTGTAGCACGCATGCATGCTGAACGTACACACATGGCGGTTGATTGATCTCAACGGTTTGGTTTCGGTGCCCTGCGTGTATTGGTAAAAACTACGGTTTGTTGTTATTTCTGGTACTCAGAGTCCGTTACGGATTAATTCTGTCGCAGTCTCACTCTTCATCGGCTTCACTGGGAATACGAAAATAATAATCTTAGCCGTTAGCATGAATACCAATGTTCGTATCCAAGTCTGAACACCACATAGAGGGCCGTTTCAGAGTCCATGTGCGTCATCGTGTTAATTATGCCTATCGCATCTCTTTTATCAACAACACCGCCTTTTTATGCAAACGTCCTCATCACGTTATCTGAAGCTCTGTGACCGGTATGCTACGCTTAACCAAATCAACATCGCCGCTATCTTCCATAGATGATGTTGTGTATAGCAATATCGCTGGTCTATTTGGAATACTAGATTACTAGAATACTAGATTTCTGCCTTTATGAATCGAACACCTTCGTGCGTACTTGCTGATTACGTGAACTTACAGTCCTCCAAGCAGTTCGCTCAATTAAACATCAAACGTTATCACTAATAAATGAATCAAACACTGCTTCGGATTTTCTTTGTGGGATAAGAAGAGTGCCTTCACATATGGTTGTTTATCTTGCGTATGGTGTCAGGATAGTTTGCAACTTCTATCAATTCACTTGAAAAGCTGGAGGTGGTCCAATCCGGTACACACTTTCTGGTCATCTCTGTGCCATCAAAGATCCGCATCGCTGAAGAGTGTCGAGTACAGTTTCTACTCATCGGTGAGCTATACAAGCGAAAACATTGGGCATCGCATCCATTCTTCTACTTGGAAGCTTGTTCATTGGGTAGAATCTTTCGATAGGCAATTTGGCTATTTCATGGACCGCCTTTGCTTGTTCGGTCTTTTGGAGCCGCGTTGCGACGACCCGTGACCGAAAGGACCTCATGCCTGCCTTGTAATCCGGAAGTCGCGGGTTCGAACCGGTGTAATGGGGCAGGCGACCCTCACAGTATCCTTAACCCCCGCGCGACTGGTGATGGCCGCGTGCCACCGAAACGACGGCGCTGCGTACTGGCCTACTGCTGATGCCTTTGCCTTTTTCTTCGTCCTCGCATCTCTATGCCTCGTTTCAGAATAACGGTCGTAGCCTAATAATTGGTTTTTCCTCAATCCTCGACAATACGTAGTACATTGGGAGGTACCTTCATGTTATCAATGTGTAACTGTCATCTCTATTCTTAATAGATTGCTTTAAATCCCAACTTGATCTAGCTCATTTACAACTATCACATTTACTTCCGAATATCTGCTTTTTACCATCAACATTTAAGTTTAAAGACAGCAGCATTCTACTGTCGATTCTTCGTTTGTGCATCTAATTTCCCCTCTGTTTTCTACACTTCTTAGTTATGGGTACCACGGTGCCACTTTATTGTGATCCTCATTGTTGACTGTCTTAACTGCACCACAGAGTTAGCACGATCACTGATTTGGGCGTGCCCATGGCAATGAGCTAGCACAAGCGTGGGACCGTGTTCGGAGCAGGTTTTGCCGGCAGGGGATGGGATGACGTCTGAATTAGTAAACAGTGGCACCATGATTGCATGTTAACCCCATAACGCTTCTAATGCGAGAATAGAGCTGATGTGGAAATAACCCATCGTTTTGTGACTGACAGGGCATGTTCATGTCCACATGACAGCTGACCAATCAGGAGCGATGTGGTTTGACCAGTGATAATGAACCTCTGACCATGCACGCGCTGCTGCACTACTGTTCCGCATTTCATTACTATTCCCCATGCTTCACATTCACAAGCGACTGCCTGTTGTTCGCCGAGCATGTGAGTACACGGTTCCCAAAGTACCAGCAGCCTTAGCCAGCCCATATCAACAGCGATGTTGGCAGTCATCGTCCCCTCAAATAGATTGCTGAGACAAGCGACGGAAAGGTGGAAAATCAGTCCCATGTAAAATCATTGTCTATTTTGCAGTATTAACGGTGTGCAGAGTTTCCAAAGCATGTCAAGTTAGCCATCTGTTAGTTTGTTAAAGTAACTGTTATCTGAGCTTGGCAATTATTTTGCAAACTTTTCGGTACCAGTCTAGACGACATCATCAGTGTGTTAGTGCTTAGCGTAGTGTAGTATAGTGGATAAAAGCCATTCCATTTTAGTTGGTTTGTTCATTTATGTTATTCTGCTGCATATTCTATATCCATTTTGCGAGCTTGCTTTCCATTAAATTCCATGTCGGTTGTTTGTTACCCCCGCTGTGGCTGCGCCTGATTTAAATGTTGACAAGGTGCCTACCTATCTGACACCTTCTACCTCGATTCCTGGCTCCAGGAGACTGTGAATCGTTGCTGGAGGGACGGGGTGCATGATCCTCGCGGCCGTACTAGGCTTACAGAATGGTTCCATGCATCCTGTGTGGAACGGGCTACGGCCCAGCCACTGCCTTGCGTACGTCTGGTACACATGATTCCCCACCTAGAAAGACAAGACTGCTGCTGCTGTACATGTTAGAGTGTGGGCCGGCTCTTTCGAAGAAACGTGGCTTCCATCCACCTGCCTCCTGGTCTTATTCCTTCTGGTTTACACTGGGTATGGGGTGTCTGGGTGGTGCGGCGCAAGCCACCCATGGTCTCTCAGTAGGCGTAGACGTCCTGTGGCTGTCCTAGGGAGGCCATAGTAACAGGCAAATCCGAAACCGGATGCCGCCAACCAAGTAAGAGTGAACCGAGTAGTCACGCGCGTACATTTCTATAGGTTATTGTCATTGGCCGTTTGGGCAGGCGATTTTTGAAAGTGACCTCTTCGACAGATGCCTCGTGACTATGACTGCTTTGTCTCCGCTGCTGAGAGTTCTGTCTGAGCTGCTTGTATGTTGTCATTTTCCATCAAGCTCATTCGACTGCGATGGTGATCCTTTGTTCGTTGATTTGCCTAGGTAGTGTTCAGATCAGTGTGTCGACTGCTCGCATTCTTCGTGGAGTACTTCAAAGAATTCTCTTGCCTGCTTCGTATTATTATGTGCTATAATCTTTACTTTTTCCGGGTCAAAATGATGACAAGATTTATCCTCGTGTATCGAAACCAGTGAATATGGTTCGTGCCTTCTTATGGCCTTATGCTCTGTGATCCGGGTGGAAAGCTTTCTTCCTGTTTGCGCGATGTAGTGCTATCAGATTCGCTGCAGCTTTACCGTTTGATTTAGTCCTTCTGTCTTGGGAGCAACACTCTCACATCTTTGTGCTACGGTGGCTGTGTCGATGAAGTAATCATGCTGCTATTTCAAAAACGTTCTGGATGTGGGGGAACACCACCCCTTTATTTCCTGTTCTGGCCGCTGCTGAGTACTTATCCTCTTCAGGCTTCTTCTACTAAAGGTTTGTGGATACCCGTAGTTTCGTAACACGCGATATAGGTGGTTCTCCTACTTCTTTCTCAATTCCATTGTGCTACAGTGTTTTCCCGCTCTCTTGAATAGCGCTTGGATACACCTATTTTTGTTGTTCATACGTTGCTTACTTTGCTAGTTTAACATTCCATCCGTATGTGTATTCTCTATGGGTCTAAGTTCAAGGCAGAACAACAGATAACGATAAAGAAGCAACACTGAGAAAGAAATAGAATATCATCCAACGAAAACTAAACACTAAACCAGGAAAATTTAATCCAGAAACGGTAAATAAAGTAGGTGAAGATAGCGCTTTCCTTAAGAATACTACATATTCCGTTCTTTGTTTTGGGTAAATAATCGCGTCAAAATTCATTTTCTTTCCATATTGATGTGTTTAAGTTACATTTG